ATAGATAGATAGATAGATAGATAGATAGATAGATAGATAGATAGATAGATAGATAGATAGATAGATAAAATTTGCTTAATTCTAGCAATAATCTTAACACCTTGACATTTAATGAAGAAACAATGGTTGGAAACTAACCAAGGAGAGAAGCAACCTGGAACTAAGGAGAAATTTCCTAACGGTGAGAGCAATCAACCAGTGCAATAGCTTGCCATCAGAAGTTGTAGGTGCTTCATCACTGGAGGCTTTCAAAAAGAGACTGGACAACCATTTGTCTAAAATGGTATAGGTCAGGGGTCGGCAAACTTAAACACTCAAAGAGCCATTTGGACCCATTTCCCACGGAAAACACCGGGAGCCACAAAGGTCCTTACTGGAAGCCCCCAGTTCAATTCTGGAGCTGACCGGAAGTTCAGTTCCCCCACCATAGAGTCTCCTCCTAGCATGGCGTCCTTTTTCCTCTACCTGTCATAACCGAAAGCCCTATCAGTTGTGGAGACAACTGGGAAACCCACCCCTTGCCGTAGAGTCTTCTCCTGTCGCACTGTGTTTCTCCGCCCCTCCCCCACCAGAAGCGCCTCTCAAAATTGTGGTGCCGACCGGTGACGGAGCCGCAGCAGAGGGAGGAAAGAGCCACATGTGGCTCCAGAGCCGCAGTTTGCTGACCCCTGGTATAGGGTCTCCTGCTCGAGCAGGGGGCTGGACTAGAAGACCTCCTAGGTCCCTTCCGACTCTATTATTCTATGCTCTATTCTTTTCTGCTCCCTCACTGTGTCGTTTCTCATTTCTAGGGAGGCACGAATGAAGGGCGTGTTACTTCGCTGGTGGCAATCCCGCCACTGTGGCTCAGGCCACGATCAATGGGCTCTGGACCACGTAGAAGTTGTTCAGTGAGTATAACGCATGCCGTCATATGAGCACCTGCCCCATATTCCACATCAGGATGGACGATTTTTCAGTTCATGATTGAGTCCTATTTAAACGAAGGGTTAGAGCAGGCTTTATCTGCCAATCACTCTTTATTGTGAAACTATCTGATAACCTGGCGCTGGCCGGATATTTATGTATCGTAGTCCTCCTTCCATGAACGTCACCACAATTTCTAATATTGGATTTTCCCCCTTACCAGAGGGAGCCGCCTTGTGGAGTACTGTGCAGTAGAAGCCATTTTACGGCAGTACGGTAGAAGCCATTTTATGGCAGTACGGTAGAAGCCATTTTAAGGCACAGCAGGCTGTAACTTAACAGAACACACACCCTGAGGGGTGTTAGGGGTGTCTTACCCCCACAGTATTTTTTTCCAGAGAGTAAATCATCTGTGTACCAAGTTTGGTTGAAATTGCTGGAGGCGTTCCAGAGTTATATATCATCTGATATATATCTATATCTATATATATCAATTATATATATATACATATATATATATATATGCATCCCAACCTCACCTGAGCCACTTTAATATGGGAGAACTTCAACTCCCAGAATTCCCTAGCCAGCATGCAATTATGTATCTCATGCAATGGGGAATTCTGGGAGTTGCAGTCCACCCACTGCATTCTCACTTTAAACTGCGGCCTACGTAAAGGAAGTTCATCAGCATGAACCTGATTTCCGTTCTCTGCAACCAGATAGAAAAATCGTATTGCTCTCACATAGCGTAATATTGCTATTGACTTCGGCACGCCAGTCCTTATTTTAAAATAGCGGAATACGGTTGAGAAATAAAATTTGTTCTATTAGGTTCCGTGGGCAGAAATTATATTCTTCCCTAGTAAAAAGTGTTTTTGCCTGTTAAGTCTCCCCCCGTCCACACTAAAATGATCTCATGGTTAAAAAAAAAAACACTTTATACAGTATATGACTGGAAAGTTATTTACCTTTTCTCTAACAATTTCCTGAAATTCTAGTGTCATGCCCCGCTGGGATTCATCGCTACGGTCTTTGGCTGAGAGAGGTGTGCTTACCCAATAGATAGGTTCCAAATGTTATTTTATTTAAAATTTTGGAAGACTACGGCTGATAAAATTTCGAGTTGTAAGATTACCTTTGGAAATGTTGATTAACTATGAAACTATCATTTCCTTGAATCACATTTAAATTACGGCTGGAAGAACCATATTGCTATATTATGTACTATTAGTTGTAACATTAGCTGTGGAGAGGGGTCCCTGGTTCAGAGGCTAGCCATGATCTAACCTAGCCATGATTACACCATGATTACTCTTGAGTAACCACCATGATTACTCGACATCCAGCTTGAGTATCCAAATAATAATCCAGGATCGTGTCAGTTCTGAAAAGCTTACTGTTTATTGAATTCATCGTGCAGAAATGGCGAGGTAAAATGAACTCTGGATTTCCAAGGCACTACTAGTTCACAATATTAAACAATAAATTTCCCAGCCCAACCCTTAAAATTAACTCTGAATTTCTAAGGCACCAGTTCACAATATTAAACCATGAATTTCCCAGCCCAACCCTCAGGCTTCCAGATAGACCACATCAACGAGTTCTCTTTTTTATGGGAACCATCTGCCTTCTTCTTCACATCTTATTTATATGACCTTGGAAAGTTTCCAGAGTCGCAATGCTCCGGTGAAACTGCAGAAGTTTCATTTTTAAATTAAATTTTAAATTAACCCATTTGGAGCCAACATCTCCTCCTCTTTACTCTATGAGAAGTTGAAACGAAAAGGCCTGTAGCTGGCCATGTTTCACTCATGCCACTTATAGTCTTTGCAGCTAAGCCCAGTAGACTAAGATGATGTAATTACAGCTAACTTTCTTTGGCTTAGAATTGTTGGCTAGGATCTATGGATCTCTTCCTCCATGGATCTCTTCCTCCTTGCTCAGCCTTCCCCCCTCAAAAAAAAGATATGGGAGGGCAGGATTCTCTCAAATTCCACGTACTTGGACTGGAGATTACAGTGAGCATTATTGAAATTGGGGACATGGTGTCCCAGTGGTTAAGACACTGGGCTCATCGACTGAAAGGTTAGCCGTTTGAGACCCAAGCACCTCATGACGGCGTGAGCTCCTGTTACTTGTTCTTGCCAATCTAGCGGTTCTAAAGCATGCAAATGAGAGTAGATAAATAGGTACCACTTCGGTGGGAAGACAACAGCCTTCTCTGCAACTTGGCGCATAATGCTGGCCACATGGCCACGGAAGGGTCTTCAGACAATGTTGGCTCCCTCAGCTAAGAAATGGAGATGAGCACCGCCCCCTGGAGTCGGAATTGAAATCTTTTATCTCCTTACCTTTGACCAAAATGTCATTGCCACACCCATCTATCTTCAAACACTAATATTTAAACCCAGCCGCCATTGATTAGTTCCAAAGGAAGGCATTCAATTTGCTATCAAAAAAAAAATCTCTATCGATCTATGGACAGCCCTAATTTAAACAAGATGACAAGAACAGCTTAAGATGCCTAGTTTATTCTGCTATTGTTATTATTATTATTTTTGGCACCAGAAAGCACCAGCTTGCATGGCATCCATGCCACACTTAAACTGTAGCCTTTATCCAATAATTGGTAATTTTTCACGCTTAGCTGGCCTGCCTAGTTGTTGTTATTTTTAAACCACACTCTTTGCTAAGCTTGGCCTCCATCACATCAACTTCGAATATTTAAACTACACATGAAAATATACCTTATTACTGATTCATCCAGTACCTTTTACCCAAGGCAGAAATAATGTTCTGATTGTAAAAATTTATAGTTCTTGAAGAGTTCCTTTTTCTATTAGAAACGGGTTAGAATATTATGGGGGTGACGCAGTGATTCCCAGTTAAGATGCTGGGCTTGTCAGCTTGAAAGCTGGCAGGGTTTGAGATCCGAGCGCCCCATGACGGGATGAGCTCCCGTTCCTTGCTCCAGCTCCAACCCACCGAACAGTTTGAAAGCATGCAACTGCGAGTAGATAAATAGGTACCACTTTGGTGGGAAAGAAGCAGCATTCCATGCACCACAGTATTTAGGCATGCTTGCCCCGTGACCATGGAAGTGTCTTCGGACAATGCTGGCTCCCTCGGCTCAGAAACAGAGATGAGTGGACAGGGAAAACCTTTACACCTAGAATATTGTGACTTAAGCAAGTTGTAGAAAGACAAAAAAAGAATGAAAGAAAATGGGGAAGAAATTGAATTTTTACACCTTACCAACATGCAAACATATCAAAGTTTTGTTTGTATTATGTTTCTTGCTAAAGAGCCCTTTGGTTTGGGTTACAAATACAAATATCATAAACAAATTAAAATTATTCAGTTATACGCTTACCCTCCCTCTCTCATTGTATCTCACTCATCTCTCTCTCTCTCTCATCTATCTATCATCTATATCTATCTATCTATGTATCTATCTATCTATCTATCTATCTATCTATCTATCTATCTATCTATCTATCTATCATCTGTCTATTGATTGATCTATCTTATCTATATCTATCATCTATCTATCTATCACCTATCATCTATGTCTGTCTAAAGCACTTCATAAAACAGATTAAAATTATTCAGCGATGCATGCACTCTCTTGCCTTTTTCTGTCTCTAAAACACATCACAAAAGAGGTTTTTTTTTTCCAGTTGCCCTGTATCTCTAGCTATCCATAAAATTTTATTCAGTTTATACAGCTTGCCATGCAACCAAAGCGAGTTTCAGAGTTCATTGCTACTATATAAAAACTGTATGGAAAAAAAAATGCATCGTGCTTTTGGGATAAAAGCAACTGGGCAGTGATACCCAGAGCTGATTAGACTCTTCGTTCAACTTGGTCTGACTTAAAATATTTGCCTATAGCACCTCGATATTTTATCTGTTGCTTTTATCCCACTAGAGCAGTGTTTTTCAACCTTGGCAACTTGAAGATGTCCGGACTTCAACTTCCAGAATTCTGGGAGTTGAAGTCCAGACATCTTCAAGTTGCCAAGGTTGAAAAACACTGCACTAGAGCACATTGGCAGAGAGTGAGAGAGAGAGAGACAGACAGACAGACAGACAGACAGACAGACAGACAGACGCATATGCTAGCCTTGGAATGCTATTCATTTCTTGTAATTTTGCAGCGTAGCTTATTATTATCTTTTACTTTGGGATCGGAAGATCTTGATGAGCAGGAGACAATTATCACAGCGGGCTCATAAGGTGATTCACTATTGATTTTATCAGTCGGGAACACGGCTTGGATTGCAGTTAACAATCCTCTCTATTCTTCCGTCTCCTGGACCTCTCCCCAGACTAATTTAAACCGAGGAAAAGAGGAATAAAAGAGGGGCAATATAAAAGGCAAACAGAAAGTTAGAGCAGTTGGTGCCAACTCTTTTTTTTTTTTTAAATAACTTTTGAGCCGCAGGCTCAAGTAATGCCAAATACTTGTTCCTTTGAATTTTTCCCATTCGCACTAACACACACACACACACACAGACACACAAAAGGACAGGGCAGATTGTCCACAGGATTGTATAGCAGTACAACATGGGTGCTCAAACTACGGCATGGATCAATTATGAACCATCTTGCTTAGGAATGGACGTTCTGGTCATAACTCAAGGACTACCTGTAATGGGCTTGGAATGTGAATTAGATCTAGAACCTTTAGATTTTTGGGGTCTAGTAAAACAGCCATGAAGGGATGCGGTGGCTCAGGGGCTGAGCTTGTCAGTCAGAAAGGTCGGCAGTTCAGCGGTTCGAATCCCTAGCACCACGAAATGGAATGAGCTCCCGTTACTTTTCCCATCTTCTGCCAACCTAGCAGTTCAAAAGCATGTAAAAAATGCAAGTAGAAAAATGGGAACCCCCTTTGGTGGGAAGGTAACAGCGTTCCGTGGGCCTTCGGCGTTGAGTCATGTCGGCCACATGACCAAGGAGACGTCTTCGCATTGCACTGGCTCTTCAGCTTTGAAATGGAGATGAGCACCTCCCCATAGAGTCAGGAACGACTAGCACATATGTGCGGGGAAACATTTATCTTTACCTTAAAATAGCCCTCCATTTTTGACTGGACCTCAGTTGAATAAACGTTGGTTCTTAGCATTCAGGGGAGGAAATAAAGAAAAGTTATAGAAAAGGTAGGTAGGTAGGTAGGTAGGTAGGTAGGTAGGTAGGTAGGTAGGTAGGTAGGTAGGTAG